AACTGCCTCAATTAATATAACAAAATGCAAAAGGTCATTGGTCATTTTGCTGAGGGCTGAGAGCAAAATATATCCAGTTTCAGAACACTTTGTTAATATGCAGAAAGCCAGAGAACGCGGAGAGAGTCCAGACACAGAATGTATCGTTGCTCTTTAAAGGGTGGCATTAGAATATTGAGGGCTAACTGTTTTCTATTCATTAACCAACAGTTGTTTCCAGAATGAAGTGTTCTGAAAGGGAATCTCCCAGTCACTTAAAAAAGTGCAAGAAACACAGCACTTTGCTAATTTAAAGGACTCTTGCCTTGCACATATTTGGTAAGAATAAACATTTACCCAACAAGACAACCATTCAGTGAGCACTTGCTATGTATCAACTTTCTGTACTGATGACTTCTCCCAGCCTCTTGTCCCCAAGAAGTTCTTGGGAAGTATCTTCTTCACTTATGTTTCTTGAGAAGCCAAAAGCAGAGCCCTGAATTTCTACTACAGAGAATCCAAATTTGGTAAAGAACCTGCTCACAAATTAAGATTTCCTGCTATGACTCCTGGAAAACCACTCATTAAACAAAGAGGTAAAGAGCTGTCATTAGAAGTTTAACAACAACTTTGGACTTCACCTTTTTAGGGTTAGCAAGGCCTTCCATGCTGGAGAGTACCTTAGACTACAAAAGTCCAGATATGAGTCATGTTCTCTGCTCTGTGCCCTTGGGAGGCAGGCACAAGTTGACAAATCTTGACACTGTCTGTCTGTTCCTCCTCCTTCTGTAGTCAATCAATGGTGTACAAGGGGACACCATCTTCTTTGTTGTCTGACAGCAGCAAGTCCCTGACACACAGAACTTTTTCTCCTTCTGAATGGTTCCTAGAATCAAAGTTCAGTTATGTTTCTGAACCAGCACAAGAATCCCAACGAAATATCCTAGGGAACAGAGGTATGAATCAAAATCCCATGACTTCCCATGAAGACTAATAAGCTAATCTCTGACAATTAATTAAAATGTCCCCAGGTCCCATGAAATCAGAACCTAATAAACGACTTGCAGTTAATTGGGCTGCGTCCTAAGAAACACGAGTTCCCATTATTTTTTGTGATTATTTTCTGCATTTCAGTTTTCTTGTTTGCTTGTTTCCCTGGGTAGTAGATTGGTGTGAGGGGCTCCTGACTGCCTTGTGACAACTGTCTTTTCCCTAATCAGTGCTCTGAATGCAAGACTCCATTTTGGAGCCAAAAGACATGGGGTGGGTGGGATGCTGATTTCAGGGTTGTCAGTGATGTCTGGTAACAATACCATCCCTTCCAGATAGTTCACCTCCAGTATCTGTAGCAAGCACATGTCTTGGTTTAATAAATTTGTTAAATTCATCATCACCTAGAAGGAAATAAGAACTACAGTCAAGAGTGTTGGTGCAACAGTGACTCTGTCACCTGAAGATGAGTTGGATGTTTCTTTTCTTGGCTTCTATGAGCTCATTTCCCATTTCCTCATCAACCAAATGGAAACAGCAACCCTTCTCCCAAGGTGCTCCTATGATGTGATAGAATTTAGTAAATTCCAAAGACCTCCACAAATAACTAATGCTAGAACTCTCTTGGATTCTACAGAATGATTAAAAATAACCTTTTAGCTGGCTTTTTTATCCATTTTGTTGATCTCTTAAATGTGCCAGAATGAGATGCTGTCCCCACTGATGGTGAGCAGGATGTTATCTCCATCCTGAACAACGTTCCTTTGAGCATCCTATTCCTAAGTCTCTCCTGGGTCATACATGTTTTTTCTTTACGGAACTGGTTCCTAAGGAAACAAGAGTGCTGTAGTGCTGTGCTGTAGTCTGTCTTTGAAAGAAAGAAATAAACTGATGCTCCTCAACCCTCTTCAGTAAGTCATGGTTTCTCACTCTCCTTGTCAGAAAAAAAAAGCATATACAAATATTTTCATGATTGCACCCACTCCTCTCTTTCTCTTTTGAATGCACTCCAAACAGGCATGTCTGAAAAAGTGTGTGTGTGTGTGTGTGTGTGTGTGTGTGTGTGTTTGCATGTGCAGTGTCCAGACAAACTAGAAAAGGAACATGGCTTGTACATGACCCTGGAAGTGCAACAAAGATTCTTAACCACTGGGCCATCCTTCCAGCCCCTCTTCTTCCATTTCCAGGAAGAAAATATGAAATTCGCATCCCAACTATTTCAGTTTCATTTTACTCTATGCTTTTCTTGAGTTCTAATATCTCTGTAAAGTCAATTAGTGTCTTCACTATGTATCCTAATGAGAATTATCTCCCAATATCTTCCAAAGGTTAAAGCAGTGTTTCATATCATTGTATAAAATATCACTGTAAAAATGTGCAAACCAGTAGTTTCGCTGCTATTGATTAAACAAGTAAAAGATAAGAGAAATAGCAACAGTCTATGTAAAACTTACACTCCAATGTTTCATAGCAGTATTAGTGATTACAATTAGATATTTAAAAAATAGATAAATCTAATGTGATGTATATATATATACATATGCACTATGACATACTATTCAGCAATCAATGAAAAGAAATAAATAACTGATATATGCTGCAGTAAGGTTCATCTTAGAATATTCAGTTTAATTTCTCAAGTTGTGTACAATTGACTATTTCATTCATATGAAATATTTGAAATAGGTAACACTATAGGAGTTTCACGCAGGGCAGCAGGGACTTAAGGAGGGTGGAAAGAAGGCGGAGCGTGATAACAAAAGGGACCCTACTCACTGTCCACATTGTCACACACCAAATCTCAACAGGACAACTCTTTCAACTCAACTCACCTCAATATTGAAAGAGACAGAATGTATTTCTTCTCTTCTCGTATTCTTCATCTTTAGAACATCTACAATATATGGACCAAGGAAGCTGAATTCTCTCAAATGCAATGTGAGATCAAAAGCTTGTTAAATGTGTAAAGTTTTGCATTTAAAGGAAGTCAGTTAGTTATTATTTCTGCATGCAAAGATAATCCCTTCAATAATGAAATGCATTCATCATGTTGGGATACTATGATCTCTCTGTAATGCCCTTAATGAGAGGTCAGAGTTTCATGGAGCTTTAGCGTTTCCAAGTCCCATCCCACTCACTATTGTAATTCTTCAATAACTCTGTGAAGTGAGGAAAACATTATAACCCAGCAGATCTTCAGAGGTCCAAATGAGCCAATGGCTTGAGTTAAGGTCTTGAAGCTACTAAGAGAGCCAAAGTCAGATGGCCATACTGTAAATCCAAAGCAAACAATGCCAGATTTCAATGTGTACCAAGGTAAGAAAACTCTGCTAAATGACCTCCTGGGAATTATGGGAAATTTCTCTGCACTACTCTTCTTTTAAGCTTAAAGAGAGTTGAGCTATGACAAGAGGAAAAGTTTTGCTTTCGGGTTGACACTAATTCCAGTCCTGCATTGGAGCTCAGTGACTTTCTCCAACACATTGAGCAGCAACCCTATGTGTGTTCTCTAACCTGAAAACTGCCAGATACAATACTCACTCAGAATGGTCTTAATCTTTTCCGTTGTGATAAGAAATGTGCAACATTAGTGTGTTGCCTGCTGTAGAGTAGACCCTTCACAGCTCCTGCAATTTTTCTGTATCGTTTCACACAATTATGTAATCACATTTGATGACAGAGGGTCCTATTGTCCCATTTTACAGATGGTCCATGAGAAAGGCTAGGATGATTTCCTCCTGCTAAGGAGATGGAGTTAGAACTATGTCTCATAATGTTTGTCACAGACGCATTTGCCAGTTGTGAAAAAAGCCTTAGCTGGACTGATCCCATCCACTGTTGAAGTGGGTGGTTCCTGCCCACACTCCATTCTGGTGCCTGTATGCCAGTACTTTTTATCAGAGAAGTTTGTCTTAAGATAAAAGTTCTGTAGATACATACGTTTTTTTTAATCCTTAGGGACATCTTTCAACACACAGCAGCAGGCAGTTGGTGGTAAATGTCCTTTTGGGGCAGATAATTCTGAAATACAGAATTTGAGTCCAGTTGTCCAAACGAAAGCTATCTCATTTATACTGCTATTTTGTTATTTCCTCCTGGGTCACATTCTCCTCTACTCTGCCAATCCTACTTTCTGGGTTCAACCTATAAAAAAAATGCCAGCCTGACTGAAAGACAGTCTTAGACTACATCTTGGAAAACATAGATGTGTGTGAGGAAGAGAGTGATAGGGTCACCTAGATTTGTTTCCATTGCTGTTTTTTTTTATTTTTTATCATTTTTTATTTTAATTTTAAATAGCTTGTTTTACATGTCAATCCCAGTTTCCTCTCCCTCCCCTCCTCCCTCACTCCCCTTCCCCCCCCACCCTCCCACCCTATTGCCAAATCCTTCCACATAGGGGATATCTAGAGTCTGTCATTTTACTCTGGGTCCAGGCACTCCCCTAAGAGTCCAGGGTGAGAGAGCATCCCTCTTTGTGCTATAGGCACACGAAGACTGTTTGTATACCAGGGATAGACACTGATCCACAGCTCAGGGCCCCATAGGTTGCCCAGGCCTTCTCGCTGACACTCACATTTGGGGAGTCCACATCAGTCCCATGCTGGCCTCCCCACTGTCAGTCTGGGGTCCAAGAGCTCTCCCCTGTTCAGATCAGCTGTCTCTGCTGGTTTTGCCAGCCCATTCTTTGCCAATTTGCTCATCACTCCTCTCTCTCTGTCACTGGGTTCCTTGGGTTCAGTTCAGTGATTAATTGTGTGTTTGCCTCTGCTTCCATCAGTCACAGGATGAAGGCTCCCAGATGATTATAGACATCAAGTTCATTATCAGGAATGGGCATTCGAGGTGGTCTCTCCACTATTGCTTAGCTTGCCAATTGGTGTTATCCCTTTAGATCACTCGAGGTCGCTCTGGTGCCTGATCTGTATTCCATCCTATGATTCCCTCTTCCCCCTATTCTACCCCCACCCCCTCAACTTCCTGTTCCCCCATGACCAACTCTCACTGCATTTCTCTCTCTTTCTTCGCAGGTCACCAAGATGCTGGTAGTGGTCGTAATTCTGTTTGCCCTTTTATGGATGCCCTACAGGACTCTCGTGGTTGTCAACTCATTTCTCTCCAGCCCTTTCCAAGAAAATTGGTTCCTGCTCTTTTGCAGAATTTGCATTTATCTCAACAGTGCCATCAACCCAGTGATTTACAACCTCATGTCTCAGAAATTCCGTGCTGCCTTCAGAAAGCTCTGTAACTGCAAGCAGAAGCCCGCCAAGAAACCTGTCAACTACAGCGTGGCACTAAATTACAGCGTCATCAAAGAGTCAGACCGGTTCAGCACAGAGTTGGATGACATCACCGTCACTGATACTTATGTGTCAACCGCCAAAGTGTCATTTGATGACACCTGCTTGGCTTCTGAGGTAACCTTTAGTCAGGGCTGATTCATGAATGAGAAGAAAGTGAATCATAGTCAGTGAGAATCTGTGCTGTTGTCTACTCGAGAGAGAGACAACAGTCAATGCTTACACTAGAGACATAGCAGACAGGCTTGGCTTTGCTCCTACAAATATTGACCCTACTTTAACCCCTGACAGTGTTTTCATGGTCCTTCTTTTCAAACCAGAATCACAAAATGGGGACTATCTATGAAGGAGATAAATGGTGAAAACAAAAAGACTATTGTCTTTCATTTAACATGGGAAATCAATTCTCTTTCCTGGGGTAAAGACATTTCCACAAAGTCTAGGTGACAATTTAAATTCTTCACAGAAACCTTATCAAATGCTATTTCACACACACACACACATACACACACACACACTCCAAATAGGTGAACATTTGGCAATTTAACAAGATGTGATTTTTAAATGTTTTAATTTATTATTTTACTAAACAAAGTACAGTACTGTTTCATAAATATCTTTTTTTAAAAAAAAGAACTACAAACTCAAAATACCCCAAAATTATAGACACATGGAGTTTGAAATAAACCTAAATTTTTACCAACTCTTCAGGTTTCCTAAATAATGGGTGGAATAAAGGCATGCCCATTTCAAACAACTATAAAGATACCAACTAACATACAAAGAAATCCAAATAAATAGCAAGTACTAGGCTGAGTATTTAAAACATGGCTTCACATTTTTCCCAAAACCTTTAAAGTCAAAGTCACCTTTTAACACTCTTGTACATAAACTACTGAGCTGTGTCAAGTGAATTCTTCCAGCTGAACCAAGCTTAAAAGTTTGAAGCAGGTTCTGAGGTTTGGTTGTTATTTGAAGTCAGCCAAAGTCTGGCCATTTTGCCTCAAGGTGAAGATGCCCCACTCCGACTCAGACTTTGGCTTGCCTTCGATTATATTCATAACTCCCCCTTGTCATTGTTCACACTTAATCTTACTTAAGTGCTTAGGATATGTTGGTTACAGATCCTTGATCAAAGCGCCGCAAGCCTCCTGGGTTTGTTTTAAAACTGATGTCTCCCTATCATTGCTAGCTCATCCTTACGCTTTGAACTTTGACCTAGCATCCCAGCTATCATTACACAGGTGTGAATGTGCATCTACCCAGGAGGCTAATAGGTATTATTTTAATCCTCATCAAATGACTCACCCACTGGGGTATAGCCAGTCAGATACTGAAGACTACAAATTGGTCTTGGTGTTAGCTTCATAGTCATTAATTTTTAGTAGTTGGGTCAAAAAAACCACATTTCTAAGTTCCCCAAAAAGCTGGCACTCTCCTCTCTCCAGCCTATATGTTTAGTTTATTGTTTTTCCTTGAACCTTAATTGATAAGGATAATTAATCCTCTAAACCTTCTTAATGGAGAATATGGTGGGCTCATGGAGAACCTGCCATCAAGGACCCAGTATAGGTATGCTTGTATGAAATCTTCCTCACCTACTCCAGGAAGACATTTTACTCCTCCCATGACATCAGTAAAAAGATGTAATCAGATATTCACAGAAAGTACCAGAAGTCTATCTGCATAACACTAAGCAATCTATTTTAATTTTATTTCTATTATGGATTAATTATTATTATTGGAGCAATATAGATAGGGAAATACTGTTTGTGTACGAAGAAGTACACACTCACATGTGCATAAATTTATGTCCAAAGAGAATTGTAATATATTAGACCTTCTACATTAGGGAAAGGAAATAATATTATTGCGCATCTACCATGTCTTTGACACACTGGTAGATACCTAAGCACCATTAGCTCAATTACCATGTCTTGACAACTATCCATGCTGTCTTCCTAAAGAGTGTGGCCATTACAGAGAAAATGTTGCTTTTCTTTTGTAAAGTTGATAATTAAATTCTTGTGACCCAATGCCCCCCTACACACCAATATCAGATACTGAAAACAAGGCTTTCCATATTATACACATAATAAATGCACTCTTTTGACCTTTGAACATTTAACATATAGCCTCTGCTCTCCCTTTTAAATTTCTAAAAGTTATTTGCTAGTCTTGCTCTTTGAATAGATGAGAAATTCAAAGGAACTTGATCCTTAATGTTTCAACTTTAAAGAAAATGCCATTATAAAAGCCTATGTTTCTGTGTAACGTCCAACAGATAGCTAAAGTTACACAAAGGTGGTATAACTTTTTGAAGTGTTCAATATCATGCTACCTTAACTCATAAAGTATTTCCATAGATAATCAAAACTATGTATCATTCAACGGAAACTGCAGGGCTAAATTAAAAATTTAAATCTGCTGCTGTGGTGAAATAATCTTATTAACAGACTCCTGAAAGCTCCCAGAGTTGTTATATTCCTTCCAATTCTGTTAATTGCTGAGGGACTTTGGGGAGGCTACACACCCGAAAACAAGTGGGAAAAGATGAATGAATAATAAAGCAAACATAAATTCCCTCTTAGGGTTTCTTCCTCCGTACGGTCAAACTTTTAATGTTTGGCACGGATCACAAGTATTCTACACGCTGAAGATAAATAGGACAAACTCGAATTCTATAAAAATTTCTTTAAAAAAAAAAGACTTATTATGTATACATTATTCTGTCTGCAAAAATGCCTGCAGACCAGAAGAGGGCACCAGATCTTGTTACAGATGATTGCGAGCCATCATCTGGTTGCTGGGAACTGAACCTGGGTCCTCTGCAAAAGCAGCCAGTGCTCTTAGCTGCTGAGCCATTTCTCCAGGTCCCTGCCATGTTTCCAACCCAACCCAAGCATTTCTAAGTAGATGAAAAACACAGAATCATGTGTACAATTTGATAATCTACCAAGAGAAATGGGTTGTTTGTGCTTAGCAAATCCATGTAAAGAAATGTGAAACCTAACTAGGTTTTAAGTGGATAGTGGAGTTGCTTTGTGGAGAGTATATTTCCCAGGAAAGCAGGAGCTACACTGTTGTGGTCCCTTCCTGTAAAAAGTTTAACCGCTAGTGATGTCATTATAAATTACTTTAAATCTGTAAAAATAGTAAGTTAGAAATTTTAACTTTTAAGAGAAAAATAAATTCTTAACCCATAATTCTATTTACAAATAAAAATTCAATATGATTTTCCTTTCAACTCAACTCCTAGAGTGTGTGAAGTTAGGAAAGCATAGATGAGTGAAAGGAGATGTCAGTATTCAGGCCTGTTCTTGGGGTTCTGACAGAATACACCCTCAGCTGCAGCTACTCAAAGCACCACCTGTGCACATTCAGTATGTTCCTTTTTTAAAAGGGCCCCGCCCACCTCCCATCCTTCTCTTTCTTTCTCTCCTTCTGTCTGTCTCTGTCGTCTTTCTCTCTTCCTCTTTCTCTGCCTCTATCAGTCATTCTCCTTCTCTCTCCCCCTCTTCCCTCTGCTCTCTCTCTCCTGCTGCTCCTGCCTCAGAGGCTGGTCTCCCCCCTCCCCTTTCCCCTTTTTATGATTTCATTCCCTAATTAAAAATCTAAAAACCCTCCGCTTGAACCCTATCGCATGGCATCTTTCTCTCATACTCTGCTTTTCTTAAATCACAATAGAAGACTCAGAAGCATCTAGTCAGCCCCATGTTGAAGAAATATTTCAAATATGTAGAATCACTCTGGCAACAGGGCACAAGCTTGAGCCTCTGAGGCAATTCATTTTGGGTTTCTTCAGCTTGTAATGAATAAATATCCACCAAAACAAACATTGAACCATACAAACGTAAAGCTTTACACTAGCACACACAAAGAAATCTTGTAGAATCCTCTATTGATAATGTTGTCCCCCCTTTCCCTCCTCTCAAACTCTCATCCTTCCACAAGTATCACTTCCCTCAGAGCAGCAAAAATTGGCTAACTTCGTCAAAGAGTAAGTGTGGGCCAGAAGTATCTTAAGTGAAAGTACAAATGTCCTGTTGAATACACTATGCATAGGAAAATGTTACACAAGGTTTGACTTCTACAAAAATTTCTTTTAATATGAAATTTCTTTTAATTAATGGAAAAACTAGCTTTTCGCCTCTAAAATTCCTATTTAGCTCTGTCATGATTTACACAGTGGGAACAGTGTAGAGTTAACTTGTTTAATATAGTTTGTTTTCTTTCTTCACAGACCAGAGACTTGACATTATGCAAGTTTCAGTCAGAAACCAGAAAAGGAATATTAAATATATGTAAAACCATTGCTAAATTTTATGACAGACATAGGAGTCACAAAACTCACACCCAAATGAAAGAAAGCAGATCTGCATGATTTAACCTCAAAAAGCAACTCTTAGGCAGTATTTAGAATACAGATTAGAGTCATAGGAACTACAGTCCAAAAAGTTATCAATAGTCTACTTGCAAATACTTAAGATGACTTGATAGAAGGATTATTTATATACTCTATTTTTAATGAACTTTTCTAAAGTGGCATCTTTAGAAAATAACTAGTTTAACTCTCATTTTTACTTACCCCAAAAAGAAAGAAGGCCACAAAGGACCCCGGCATGTTTTTCTTATATGATTATTTCATAGTTATGACGTCAAGTCATTCAGCAGTTGATGTCATCTAGAAGAGTGGCATACTGGGAACAGTTCACTATTAAGATTTTCAATAGAAAATGGACTGCATTGACTGACAAGTTTAATCCACATCATTCTAAATTCGATGCTCAAATAATCTCCTTTGACAAGAGTGATCATGGATGCTTGCACTCAATGTTGTCAGATCAAACAAGATGTAAATTGCATTTCTTTTTACACCAAGCAACTTCATGCTAACCTAATAGAATGGTTGTAACAAGACAAAAGAATTTAGTGGCCAATAAACTACATGGCCACATAACAATGACTTTAAGTCTTGATAGAGGTCCATACTGTAGATTCTCAAACTGGAATAAAGGAAATGTGAAGGACATTGAAAGTTCTAAGAGACTGGAATAGCCAGTAGTGTTAGCATTTCTGCAAGCCTGTAAGTGACTCTCTCTCTCTCTCTTTCCAGAAGAATGGAGCTCATTCTTGTGCATATGACTATTCTTTGACTGCCAAACAGGAAGAAATATGAACATCCTCAAGAAGTCTTGGGTTGATACTAACAAAAGTGAATCTTTCCAGAAAAGAAATAAGTACAATATGACTCAGAATAAGGTGGTTCCTAATGATCAAAGGCCTTCATTCAGAGTCAGTAAGGACATCCTGCCACAATAAGACACAGTAAGGAAGCTAACATTTAATCCTTAGTCAAGAGTGCAAGCCACTCCTGTGTTGATAGACACAGAAATTGCCAGAGAGTTTATCGTAATATGTGCTTCGCCTGTCTCTGTCTCAAGAAATTATCATTTACCAGATGACTCTGAGAACAGTCTGAAAACCACTTTGTTCTGAGCCTCTGCATATAATCTTCAAGAATCTTGAATGCGGAATAGCTCAGAAAAAGCAAGTAAACAGAAAATGCCATTAGGGCAAGCTCGTTTCATCTTTGTACTCCAGAAATTACACTCAGACTGTGACCTTGACATTGACTTTCTGTTGAACGAGTGAATAAATAAGTAAATCTCCTACTAAGAAATATCACCTAAAATCTTCATTATGCCTGACTTTCCCGTAGATTTACCTTTGCAGTTATGTAATTTGTATGTAGTTTGTTTCTATTTTCTTAAGCCATTCTCCTGGATCACTAAAATGTCCTCTGATTGTGTCAGATGATGGTGATAGCCATTCTGTGTGTGTATATTATGAGTACAAATTTCAATAGCACCCTCACATGTCACCTAATTTAATAATGATACAGATTATTAAATTGTCTGTGTGTTCAGAGAGTGACAACATATTGTTACTGAAATGTGAATAAAAATAATACAGCATGCAGAGTACACGGTAGAGAGACAAGTTACATGATTTTGTACTATGCACATTAGAATTCCTCTTGGGGAAAAGACTATCACCAGGTCCTAGAGTCATTAGAAGGAATTTAGAAAGAAGCCTGGATTTCTTTCGAGGATAGACTTGGTTTAGGCAGTTAAGAAAAGACAATCCACATAAGAGAAAGGAGATGAGTAAGTGAACAGTAAAAAGAATCAAATCTGGATACTAAGACTATATTTCCAGTGCAGTATAACTATCAGGAATTAGTTTAGGTAAGCAACTAGTAGAAAGGAAATGAAATACTTCCTGATGCTTAGACACTGTAGGTAAATGTGTATATAAAATAAGCTATAGTGTATTTTCTAAACCCTGTAAATTTCATTTATTATCTAAAGAAACTATAGTATACTATTTGTCTTCTATGCATCATTAATTCTGAAAGTATTCTTAAAGTCACAACTTTCCAAGTAAAACCATATTATGTATGTGTATATCTTTTCTATAGCACATTGTCATCGTATATGGGGAAATATTCACTTATGTATATAGGATTCAGAGGTCCTTAACAGCCACGAAGTTATCCAGTTAAACATAGAGATCAGTGCTAGCTCACAGGCCCTTCGTGAACCTAAGCACCCATATTAAATGTGATACTGAAGAGCAGCGAATAGTTTTGTACTCCCTCGACCTGCTGGCTTGCACGTTGCTCACATCAAGCCGTCTCCGAATGTTTTGGTTTCCTTTTACAACTGTTGTGGAGAGCTGTAGGCTGACTCATCCCTCGGCTTGGAAGTTAACCACTGTGTCCATGTGAACAAAGACCTTTTTTTCTTTAGGGAAGTGCAGTATTATGCGTCCTCTCTACAGCAGGAATCTTTCTTTCTGTATGCGTGTGGTGATCAATAAAGCATCTAATTGAAAGATCCAGGTCCTGTGGTTTCTTTTCTTTGAAAGCATCCCATTTTGGGTATAGCTCTACTCTAAGCCATCTGCCCCAAACATTTCATTTTGATACATTGCTATCTGTCATGTACCCCTGGTTGTTTTCCCAGATAATTATAAGTAAACCCACAAATAGATACTTTTCAATTTTAAGGAGAAATTGAATGTGTATTGTTACAGAAATGACTTAACTCATCATGTTATCCATGATTACACTGACATTAATGAATTCATTCAATGTTAATATCAGATGGGGGAAAATTACAGTTATTAATAAATAGTTGAAAGTTGGGAAGCTGTTTGGAGTGGTTGCTTCAAACATGTCTTATTGTTGCTTTTTCAATAATAGTAAAGTAGACTTAATAATTTGTGTGTTAAGCAGATTACCCTGATAATCTTCCAATTGCAAATAATCTCAGACAGGCCTATAACTCTTGAAACAGGTTTGGTCAGTTCTTGGAACACTCCACTAGCAAACAGATAAAATGCATTTTGACATATGAGAGGAAATTGAAGCTTAAGTCCATCTCAGCTTTGTTTGAATGACCCCATTCTTTCACAATTGGACATAGATGTTTCATTGTGAGTGTGTGTGTGTGTGTGTGTGTGTGTGTGTGTGTGCTTATAGCATTGTACTTTTCAGAGGATAAGAGAACATTCCCTAAGTTGCTTCAAAATTACCCATCTCTGATATTATTCACCATTGAAAGAATCCTTTTTTATACCCTGATGTGTAACACCTTAAGTTCTATAAATTAAATGGCTTCCTGAGAGTTTACCATTGTGTACCCCCTTTTCTAGACCCCCTGAAAGTGGCAATAAAACCTGACGACAGCACATTGCTACTCAGCAAGGTCGGCTAAGTGCAGTAATTGGTTCAGTACCTGGGACATAGTGGACCTTTCAAGAATCTTTTGTTAGTAGATGAGAATGAATGGGCTTATAAAAGAAGCAATTTTATTGTGTATACGACACATCCTAACTACAGTGTAGATTCCCCACAGACACCTAGAAACCTTAGGGTGTCTCTGTTTTGAGCAACATTCACTCATCTGTGGTGTAAGGATTCAGGCATTATGCTGACCCCGCCCCCTGACAACTGGAAAGGTATGCACACCGGCATTCAGGCCGATACTTAAACAGCTCAAAGGGCCCTGTGTTGCCTGGCAATGATACCCGTTCTGTGGCTGCAGAAGGACTCTGTACACAGGTGCAAGCTTTCCCTTTTAAGTGAGCGGCTCCCACCAGTTTGCCGTTTCCATCCCTGTTCCCGGTTGGCCAACACCTACCCCTCCCTTTGCTCCCTCTGCCCAATAAACTCCACGTGGTGGGTTTTGTTGAGTTTCATCGCCCACAGCTGCAGCAAACAGCAACATTTGGTGCTGTGAAACCCGCTGAGGTTCTCTCCATAACTCCTCCCACAGCCCACTGGTGGGCCAGCGGAGACACTCGGGGACCCTGATCCCCAACTGACAGACCACTTTCCATCTACCCGTCCTTTGGGATCCCCGTACAGCACCGGCTATGACTTGGTAAGGTACCCTGCCTCCTGGTCAGTGTAAACGCTTCCTTGAACCCGTGGGAGTGACTGTTGATAGTCCCGCACCCTTCTGGTGTTCTTGGAAGTGGGGGCACACCCCCAGCCACAGCCTTCAAGGCCACAACTGATCTCTCTGGATGACAAACACCTCTGGTGGATTTCCTCCCTAGGCAGTGCATTCGACTTCCAGGTGATTCATGCCTTTGGTGGTTACGGGTTACTGCCTTCTCTAAGACTACAGAATCCTGTTGGGTTTCTTTTCTTGGACTGACAGCCTCAAGAATGACTCTGCCTATGGGAAATAAACCAGCAAACATACAAGCCCATCTACTCTACCGGGATGCCGGTTAGAAAATCTAAAACCCCTTCTCTTAATGCCCCCTGCGAAGGCCCCCAGAGTCACTCACCTCTGTACTAAAAAAAGTGGCCCAAATACCCCCTAGATAATAAGTCAAATTGGCCACTTAACAGCTCTGTAGATCCCGACATTCTACGGGACCTTTCCAATTACATGGTAGTAGTAGCAGCACCTCGCTGTGCCCCAACTGCGTTTTGATTCTGTGGTTCCATCACAGATGTGGTAGACAGTGTGGTAATTTACAAAGACGCATGTAAGATTTAGCCCTGTCATCCAGATGAACTTTGGGAGCCCTTTCCACGTGGAGGGATGCTGTCTCAGCCTGGACACATGGGGGAGGAGAGACTAGGCCCTGCCGGGGAGAATATGACAGACTTTCAAGATCCCCCATGAAGGGCCTCACCCTCCTTGGAGAGTCCAGTGGGGATTGGGGAGAGGTTGGGGTAGGGTTGAAGGGGGGCGGGAGAGGAAGGGAGGGAGAGGGAGCTGGGATTGACGTGTGAAGCAAACTTGTTTCTAATTTAAATTAAATTTAAAAAAGAGGTGTGCGAGAGAAAGACGCCATGCGACAGAGCTTGGGTGAAAGGGTTTTTCAGTAGGGGAAAGTGAATGGAAAAAGGGGGTGGGGAGAGGAGGGGGGAGACTGGCCTCTGGGGACAGGAGCAGCAGTAGAGAAAAGAGAAGTGGGGGTGTGGGGGGGAGAGAAAGAGAGGGGATGGGAGGTGGGCGGGGCCCTTTTAAAAGGGAACATAGTGAATGTGCACAGGTGATGCTCTTAGTGGCTGCAGCTGAGAGGGTGTCCTGTCAGGACCCCAAGGGCGGACCAGAACAGATGCCTGAATACTGAAAGTCCGGTCCATGTACACTGCAGTTCTTCCCTGCTGAGAAAATGAGGTGACAGCCTCGCTGGCCATCACATTGTTCAAATCTATGGACAGCCTTCGGTATGAACACAGATAGCCCAGAATTTCACCTGGGTAAAGCAATCAAACAGTGAGAGATGAAACCTAGTGGGGGAAACGCCCTCATCTTCTAGTGGAATACTTCTGAAGTGTCTGCATGGCTGAGCTTCCACTGTCGGTATTGGACACAACTCCCAAACACTCTCCTTTCTTTTTTATCTGGCTCCCTTAACTCCTTCCCCTCTGCTTCCCAAGGAACCTCCAACACGGGACCATCTGTTTCCAGGTCCTTCTCTCTTGATCTGCCTTAAGGCATGATCAGCCATCAGTGTTGTAACATTCCTACGTTTTAACTTTGTTCTCTTCATTATCTCTGAGTATTCGGCTCTTGTGGACTGTAATCATTACACACAAAATGGAAATGGAAAACGATAATTTGTGAATGAACTGGAAGGGTTGAATTACATTTAAACATAGTCTTAAGATATCTGGTCATAGTATGTATGCTTTTTCAATGGGATGTCAAGAATGAGGTGTGGCTACTTTCATCCAAATGGGATACTTAGTTGGGCTATGTCTCACTTCCTAACTGAGACATTTTCCTGAAAATATAAAGCATTGTATTATTATTATTATTTTACTTATTTTTCTGGGTTAGAATAATGGTAATAGATGGAACTATTCTCTATATCTAAAATGATCCAAAGGAATGTGCTTGCTAAAAGACAAGCAAGCAAACACAAATATTAGCAATAAATGTCCATTAAGTTCCATCTAGAATGTTTCTCCACAAGCTCCAAAATTATTTTAGCACCAAGATATAGTTTTTCATACATTAGCTAAATGACAGAATTATGCAAACCTTCTTTTCAAAATGACTAACAATGTTCCTAGCTGTCAAACACAATTTAAGTGCTGTGAAGCAGGATCTTTGTGAATGAATTACACTTGAGTCAGTTGGCTCTGCATTTCCTTATATAGGAGCATAAGCCAGGAAATAGCCCAGAGTAAAAATATTTTCCCTCTCATAGAATTTTCAGATATATAAAATAATAATAAATAAAAAGAAAATGAAGTCTCCTTCCACTCTATGTACATGTTACTCAATCATTATACATGATGTGTCCTCCATATAACCCTGAGAATTCTCCACTCCATATATGTATTACTCAATCATCATATATCATGTGACCTCCATATGACCTCTGAGAATTCTCCACTCCATACATGTATTACTCAGTCATGATATATTATGTGTCCTCCATATGACCTCTGAGAATTCTCCACTCCATACATGTATTACTCAATCATCATACATCATGTGTCCTCTATATGACCTTTGGGAATTTCTGTCTTCTCAGAAGCTGGAAAGCACCTTACATGAGTTTATGTTTTGACTCTGATTTTGCCGTGATATCCTTAGACAATTCTACATTGACCATTTAAAGGTGGTGTTTCAATTTTTAGCTCATATTCCAGTCCATAAACTACATCCTGGAGATGATAGGTTTATTAATTGTGGTAATTTTCGAGTTTTATGGAACACTAACTCTAACTACTGAACAGAAAAATCTTAAAAATAATTGACAATAACAACAAGCACAGTGTTTAAGTGTAGGTCCTTATCAGTGTACAAAGTTGTACAGAAATATATACAAGTGTTACTCCTATCCAGGTAGGTGAAAGCAAGAAAAATAAGAATTGTTTTTTAAAAACAAGGATTAGTGAAAATGTTTCCAAATCACATTTTCTGTCTTAGATTTATTGAATAAAGGAAAAGGGTTTATAGCATTTAATATAAAGTATCTCATCTTTTCTGGGATGAACCCTATTGGCTACCAGACATACTTAAGATGACTAAAAGAATCAGCACCTTCACTTAGAATGTCACATACATTCTTCCTAATGTGAAGATGTAAGGAATGCACAATCAAACCCTCCATTGCCAAACAGAAGCTGCTGAGCTTTCTCACCTATATATCACAATTGTTCTTATGTTTGGTAACATTAGGTAGCAAAGAAGATGGTTACTGTGAATGGCCACGTCTTATGTTATGTCAGTTACATAAGGTTGGAAGCTTTTTAGAAATTAATACTGCTGTGTCTTATGATTGGCATTGCGTAATCGAATAGAGTGGTATAGGGAAGACACTGAGGTACTGTTGGAAGACTGATGCCTTCAGGAAGCAAGTCCTGAGAGGGAAGATGAGATGAGAACAAATTGAGTTTTAGAAGCAGAGGAGAAACCCAGCCCTGTGAGGCGATGGCTTTGTAATGTAGGTTATACTGGCATATTGGCACGTGTTTATCAAGCTTGTTGCAAGCAGACCTTGACAGTGAATAGTATTCTCCTATTCCAGACTCTAGAACATTCGTTTCAAGTGTCCTCCAATACTCCCCGTCTAGAAATCGGCTGGGCAACTGGCTCTGTAACAGGGAAAGAAAGACAGCAAAAGATCACAAGAGGGAGCTGGAGAGATGGTTCAGCAGGTAACCCACGCTTCCAAAAGTCCTAGGTTCGAGTCCCAGCAACCCACATGACAGCTCACAACTGTAATTCTAGTTCCAGGGGATTAGACACTTCCATGGGCACGACATATACAAACATGCAAAAAGAGATGCATACATAAAAATGAAAATAAATCTAAAAACCCAAAAGTATAAGTTATGTTCATAATAATAGCAACAAGGCATTCTGACCAGAGTTACTATTGCTAATCTCATGATGTCAAAAAGCCTATGGGGACTGTAAACTAGGCTGTGGGGACTCATCTGCGTCGAAAATGCTACGTTCTGCTTGCACCTTTCACTTAGGAGCTCCAGCATGGCTGTTTCATTGGGGCCTCCCCAGCTGATTTCTGAGGTACGTTTGACCTGTTAATGCGAGCTTTTCCTGTCTCTCTATCTTCTCTAGTAACCTCTCTGATGGGTGTGGTCAGCACTTGATTTGATGATATTCTGTTATCTATCCGATGCTTCTGTTCGTCTCTATTCTTTCATTTTGCTGGCTGTATTCTGAATGATTCAAGTACAGCTATCTGATCTGTCTCTGCCTTGTGAAACAGCATTTATTATTTTGAGATTGGACTTTGTCTTTGCTTAGAACAATTGGACTGAGATTAGCAAATTGTCTTCTCTCCTGGCTCACAGGCATTGTCTATGGGTAGTGGCTGGTGGCTAGCTTCTTCCTCTTGTCAGCCTTAAATTTCACTTCCAATCATCCCAATCCCATCCTCATGCCCAATACGAGACTTAGGAAATTCCACGTCAGTCGAGGTCGGGATGTTTATCTTAAAGACTGCTTGGTAATGGAAGCGGTTGACTCTTGAAAAACTTTTCTTTCTCAGATTGAGTTAAAATGTGCCAGACAGCCAGACAGCAAAAACTGAGCCTCCGCATTGCCCACTTAAATGCTTCATTTTAGTGTGGGCAGAGTTACTCTTGGCATACGCCTTCCTGCTGTTACCACTTATAGTTCAGTTTCTAGCATTCTTTTTTGTTTGTTTGTTTGTTTGTTTTGTTTTACGAGACAGGGTTTCTCTGTATTGTTTTGGAGGCTGTCGGTCCAGCCCGGCCTCGAACTCACAGAGATCCGCCTGCCTCTGCCTCCCGAGCGCTGGGATTAAAGGCGTGCGCCACCACCGCCCGGCTCTAACGTTCTTGTATCTGTTGCTTTGCCATCATCCTTCATCGTCCATTCCCACCCCTCGCTGAATAAACCAACGTATTCAG